GCACAGGCGTCCTCACACCACATGCAGGTACCCACGCAGGATGACCAAATTAATATGCCCACACAGGATAGGGTTCTATGCACACAGTTTATTTGCTACACAACAACAAAACTACAAATCCCCTCAACCCCCCACAGGTTTAGCAGTGAAGTAATAAACCCACCATTGGGACAAACACACCTACAGCCAGGGTGAAGCAACAAGGAGGGGTAACAGGCCTGCAGATATATGGCAGGCCTCAGGATAAAAGAAGAGTGGTCAGGTACAAGCCGGGTCGTTAACAGGAGGGCAGCAGCACGGTACAGGAACAGGATCCAAGAGAGTGGTCGGGTAACAAGCCGGGTCGGTGACAGGTCTGCAGATAGGAAGCAGGGTTCAGGTTTATGGGAATCAGTCAAGTGCAGGCGACGCAATACTGAGCCAGCTTCCTGACTGCAGGTAGGGCCTAAATACCCTCCCAGGAAGCACCAGGTGATGGGATGATCAGTCACAGCTGGGGCACACCCGCAGGTGAGTACTGGAGCTGCAGGTTCCTTACAGTCCCTGGCTGCTGGAGACACCCGCAGGCGAGCACAGGAACTGCAGGACCTGGCTCCAGCACCACCTGGGGGTGCTCTGGATCCTGACAATATTGTCGCAGCTGATTCAGCGCAAAAACGCTCAAAATACACGCCCGAAAAATGCACATTATAGGTGTCGCCTAGGGAACCCAGCCAGTCCTGCTCTTAAACGGTTTAAATAAGCTTATATACAGTTTAAACAACCTTAGCTTTTACATAAAAGTGATCTTATGGCTTTAGACTACATAACTTGTGGTAGTGAAGTGGTTAAGGACATGTTCTAGGCTCAGCAGAGTTAACTGTAGCATACCAGGTACTTTTTTTTAATCAAAGCGCCAACCAGGCTCCATGGCTCTTGCCCAGGCATGACCTAAACCTGGATGGGTTGCTTGCAATGGAGGTGCTTCACATCCTGCTGTTTTAGGAAGCTTCAACAGAAACAGATCTGAGGATAGCCTCAGCTCACAGCTGTCACCTTAGGTGTTCCCACCTTCTTGATTCTACTTCAGTGTCCATACCCAAACTGGGGATGGCAGCCTAGGTTCGCAGGAAGTGGGTTGAATGATGCTGCTCCTAATTCAACCCAGAAGACTGAGTACTTCTAGTGGTGAAAAAAAAATACTACTGTAAATGGCACCATGTTGAAGGTGAATAATGCAGCAAAAGCTGCTTTAAAATCTTTTATCATTGTCTTTTAATGAACTACTAAATAGATTTATATTTGGGCTGGAGTTAGGCTTTAGGATTTTGAAGAAACAAAGTCTTTTTGTAGTTATACTTAATTGATATGTATCTTTCGTCAAAGTATGTAAATAAATGAAATGCAAACAGAAATCATTGCATTGTTTTAGGGACCATTTTCCAGTTTATTATCTGCCTCTAAAACCTTTGAAAACAAAACTTTTTTTTAAATGTTTAACATTATAACATTAGAGTGATATTGAATTGATTTTTTTAGGTGGATCTGCAGGCTCCATAACCAGATAACCAAATTGTGCAACTAAAACATCAATATCTAATTTTTCTAGTTAAATAGCAAAATTGACAGAAATGACACAATGGCATTTATTAACTGCTAACTTTTTTATTAAGTGTTTAACCACTTACAGCTTTTTCTTGCAATTTAGCAATGCAGTCCTGCTCATTTCATCATTATGTCCTATACAGGTTCTGTAACCATGATGATGCAGACAAGGCTGCATGTTGTATTAGGCATTACTCTAATAGGTGTTTTACACATAGGTCTCACCTGTACCTTTCCTCCACTTTGGGGTCTATTCACAAAGCTGCAGAAGGATCTAGCCGTAGATTTGGCTGATCCTTCAGCTAGCTTCGGCCCCAGGACCCCTTCGGTTCAGTAGAACCGAAGTGCTGCTGTACGGGCTATTCCCTATAGCCCGTACAGCTCCCGAAGTTGGCTGAGCAGCTCAGTCGAGCTGAAGGCACATGCCTCGGCTCGACTGAGCCACGCTGAAAGCCGAAGCTGGCTGAATTGCCGGCCATTGGCTGGCCGACAGCCTGTTTCCAACAGCTGGGCGGAGCCAGCCGTCATGTCACGGCTGGCTCCGGCCACTTGCAGAGAGATCAGCGTCCCTGGTTACCAGCTGACCGGGGACGCTGTCATTACACACTGAGAGTGGCCTCTCCGTGTTCTCAGTGTGTAATGACCGATGTCGTTTCTGGTTACCTGGTAACCAGGAACGCATCTGTCATTCCTCCCCCGGACGATCTGGGAGTCTAATAGGATCCCGGCCACCCGGGAGAGAAACACTTTCTCACAGAAAGGTTCACTCTGCTCGATCGAGCAGAGTAAACCTTTCCCTGCTCGTTTTTTTATTTATTTATTTCTTCTGACGGCAGCCAACTGGGGGGACCTGCAGTTCTCCATCAGGTGCCCGTCTGGTGATTGACAGCAGCAGAGGGCGGGTGCAATAGCTACTTTGCTATTGGCTATTGCAAAGTGAAATAGCCAATAGGAATCTAGCTATGCTTTCCTATGGGTATTTCGTTTTTTTATTTTTTGACGGCAGCAGAACCGCACCGGCCAATAGAACACAGTTGGGCGGAGCTAGCTGTCACTGCTAGCGCCGCATAATCATTTTCTATTTTTTTCTACTTCTTTAACAATTTTTCTGTTCTGCTCGATCCTACAGTGGCATTTGGCTATCTACTCACTGCTGTTCGGCATCTATAAGAATAGACCGAAAAGCAGCGAGTAGCCTGCCGGAGGTTCGGATTAGCCGATCCAGATGTTGGATCGGCTGAGTCGAACTCCTTCTGCACTTCTGCTGAGCATGTTCGGCTGACCCGAAGCCACACAAAGCCACCCGATGTATGGCTGATTTCAGCCGATATACGGCTGGAATCATCCGTACAAGCCTGAAGTGAATAGCCGAACAGCGTCAGTGGGTCACTCGGCTGCCTACCGCAGCTTAGTGAATATACCCTTTTTTTATCCCATTTGGGAGTCCTTCATTGCAGAACAAGCTCATGTAGGTGTGATGTTTATGTGTTCACACACTTTTAGCCATATACAGTAGTATATGTTGATGTGCCATAGAGTTTATGACCATATATTAGGAGCATGTTTCTACTTGTAATTATTAACTGAATTTTTGAAAAAAAACATGTCAAAATAACAGTGTAAGTCCACAACAGTGAGAAAGGGTTGTATCTTGCATACTCCAAGGTCCCCTCCTAACATAAGAATATTAATAGCACTGCTTGTTCCCAATGTTAACCAATATAAGTATGTGCAGTGCACGTTGTTCGTGCATACTGTATTTTAGATAGGTATGGCAGGCCATGGACCAAGAAGGAAGCTTGTGGTAGAGAAAGGGACTCCAGAATGTTTCCAAATTGACCCTTGCAATGGAGCAACCCCCACTGCGGATTGACCAAGGATCAGGTGAGTATATCTCCTTCTTCTTCTTGTCCCTAGACAAAAATGAGTACTTAACCCTTGCAGTGGTGGTGGTGGTGGTGGTGGTGGGAGGGGGGGGGGTAGCCCCACTGCAAGGGTTGATTTGAAAAAACTGGAGTTCATCTTTAATGACATGTCACTTAGAAAGGCCACATGTGCTGCTATGGCAGTAATTCTTCTACTGTTCTGATCAGAGATTCTGATGTTCAGATTAATGAGTGATTTGTAATACAGAAGTTGGGAATTACAATAGATTACATTTTTTTTTAAGCAGGATGAAAGGAAGTGGAGAAGATATGTGCATAGCAAACTTCCTCTTATTCTTAGAAACTAGGTCAATTTTTCTTTAACTGAATGCTGATTTTTCTGTAAATAATGTCCTTTTAACCCCTTCATGACTGAGCTTGTTTTCAGTTTCTGTTCGTAAATGACTGACACACTTTTTACATTTTTGCTGTGTGATTCTTCCATGGCAGTAATATACTTTTTTACAAAGTGCACCCGCACATATAATATATTGTTTTTTTAGAGGACAGATAGGGCTATATAATTATATCAAACATGTGTACCTAACACCTTACTTAGTTTGAATACAATATTTAAAAAAATGAGGGAAAAATATAAAGAAAACACTTTTTTCACAAGTTTTGATTATTATTATTTTTTAGAATTGTTTAATAATTATAGTATAACAAATATATTTATATATAATCTTTATTTTCTTAATTTTTTTTAGACTTTTTTTGTCAGTTTATATCAAGCAGTCAATATAACTGCTTGATAAATAAACTTTTTTTTAAATGTTGGTTATTATTAGGCTGCTCCAAACATAGGAACAGCTAATAATAACCTTAGAGACTGATCCTGACAGCATGTCAGAATCAGATCTCACTAAAGGATTCTGATCGTGCCCAGACGATCAGAAGTGATACATTTCAGGCACAATGTTACAATGTATCTCTGTGCCTGAAATGTATTACACAGCTTCATAGACATCGGGCCAGTCTATGGAGCTGTCAAAACGAATAGCAGAGAGGTGACTCACTCTGCTACCTCTCTGCTATCTAATTAGCGATCCGGTATTTGTATGTAACGGCTTCATTCTTTTATCATTCTTTCTACTGAGGCATTCATTAATTAATGGTAACCGCTGAGAATCAGTGGGTACCAGCATTACAGAGCCTCAAATAACTGGTCACGTACAGTGTACGTGGCCAGTCATATAGGCACTTGGTATCAGGACGTACAGTGTACATCTCCCGTCACAAAGGGGTTAATGGTCTTGATCATCATGTTTCCATATTGATGTACTACAATAATTCAGTGTGAATTTTCCTTTTGTCAATTTACTAAGATCAGAGCTGGTATTCCAGAGTGCATTTAAATCAGAAATATTTTCTTATTAGGTAGAAATCCTTTTTAAAATCTCTAATTGGTGTTTCTCAGCTTAAACAGCTACTACATGTTCTACAAGATTAACTAATGTTGTAAAAACATTATCATCATCTGTGTTTCAGGAACTACCTGTATTGATACCTGCTCATGGTCACAGTGGTTTGATGTGTCATACCCTAAATATGAACCAAATGGAGGGGATTATGAGATTTATGAGAACATCAGAAAAGAAAATTTTGAAGTGTGTGATAAGCCAGAGAACATTTCCTGCAGAGCACAGAAATTCCCAGATATACCACTGGAAGAGGTGGGCCAGATAGTGACCTGTGATGTCTCCACTGGCTTAGTGTGTCACAACAAAGACCAGACTGGATTCATGCCAGTGTGCTATAATTATGAGATCAGTGTCTACTGCTGCAATTATTGTATAACAACACCTGAGACTACACTATCAACCACCACTGTAACTACACCAACCACTACAAAGACCACAACAACAACATCAGTGACTACATCACCAATACCAAGTAAGTTCAGAGCTACCAAACTATTACCTAATTTGAGAGAAAACAAGCCTTTTTAAGTTCCAAACTGCTGTACTCAGTGGGGGGTGATGTTCACAGACTACTATTCCAATTACGGTGGGAAAAATGAAGGACACCACAGAGTGATGTAATATTTATACATTAGGGCACAAAATCACCAAACAACCTAGACATTTAAAACTGGAAGAAGAGTAGGGGGCTACTGCTGCAATTATTGTGTACCTGAGACTACAACACCAACCACTACAAAGTCTACAACACCAAGTAAGTTGCCTATGCCTGCGGTTAATGTTCAGAGATGCGTTTTCTTACTCTGTTGAAATAAATTCTTACAATTTGGGGAGAAAGCATTGCGCTCTATCAAAAAGAATACATTGGTTTCCTGGAACATTGACTTGTGATGTTTCCACTGCTACGATATATGATATTAGTTCCAGAATAAAGTTATGCTCAAGTGTTACAACTATAATATGACATTATGTTAATTGTTTACATTTGGTCTGAAATAAAGTCTGCTAGTGCCATCTGTCTAATTGCTTTCTAACCATAGCTGTCTATATTTCACAGCCGAGACAACAACCACTACAACTGAGACTACAACTGTCACAGAGCCAACTACTACAGAGAGTACAACTACTACTACTACTACACCTGTGACCACACCAACACCATCATGTAAGTTGAGAGTGTATTAATCTTCACTAGTAAATCATCAGGACAAGTTTTTTAACTGGTAGAATTTAAAGAGGATATGCAATCTTCCTCCTTGCTAATCAGATCTGTTTACAGAACATCTAGCCACTCCTGGTGTACCTGCAAGTGTATTTCCACTTTTGTAGCCAAATTGGGATAATACCTACTTTATATTTGTTACAAGTTTGCATTCACATTGCATAACTTAAAAAAAAAATAGAAAAATGCCTGCTTACATTTTTAAGTGCTTAAAAATCCTACCTAACTTTCACATCTGTTAATATATAGGAGGGGGCTTTCATCTATGTAATGTTTTGGCTGGGGCTGTGGGAAGTTATATTTATTCTATTTAACCCTGTCTTTACTGTGCTGGCAGATTTGATTCCTAGTTAAAAACTAGATGTGGGCACAGTCTGCCTTAACAAAGGGTTAAAGACTCAGAAGCATTGGATGTTAAAGTGAAACTTCAGGAGTTAAATCTTAAAAATGCACTACAGTGCCCTAACTATTAACAAAAATGTAGTTTATTTGTGTATTACTCGGTTGTAGATCTTTAAATTATCTCTGAATTCATGCTGACACTTTCCTTCCTTCTGGAGGGTGGCTACTTTTGTTCCCCATGGTCCCTGTATGTGTTGTAAAGTAGCCACCGCTTCAAGCTCACTCCCGTGATGGACTACAATCACACTACAAATTAGTAAACTAAATGGAAATGTGAGATTGTAGTCCATCATGTGAGTGAGCTTGGAGCAGTGGCTACTTTACAATGCTCACAAGGACCAAGGGGAACAAAAGCAGCCAACCTCCAGAAGGAAGGACAGTGTCAGCACAAATTCAGAGATGATTTGAGGATCTACAACCAAGTGGTACACAAATAAGCTACATTTTCATTAATAGTTAGAGTACTTTCATGCATTTTATAAGATTTAACTCCTGAGTTTAGTGTCATTTCAATGAGAGGATTCTCAGTCTGTACCTCAGTTTGACCCTCTATTTTCACTATCAAACTGCTCAAAGTAGCTTGCAATCTGTGCAAAGGCCTTAACCAAAGAAGCCTCTAAAAGATAAGAAATGTACTTAAACAATATGTTTTTTGTATGCTGTGTGAATAAGAACATACAAGAAATATAGAGTAAGGTTTTCCCCTTTTGGTTCTGTTCTGCCACCATTTGAGCTCCAAAGAATGTGAACTAAAAATACTATAATCTGTTAAATTTCAACAAGTAAGATCTGTTTGACATAAAGCAGATGGATATTCACCCAATCAGTTTACCTAAAAGAATGGTGGGTTAAATGAGACACCCATTATTACAGTATGTAATATTCACACATTGGAGCATGAAATCAACAAACAATCAGGACACTTGAAACTGGAAGAAGAAGAAGCATACTAAGGGGTAATGACCATTGGGGCTATGATTCATTTAAAACTAAGATACTTAGGAGACTGACTTCTTAAAAAAGAAAGATTGTTTATAAAGGTGGAACTGTCAAGTAGAGAAATTATGTCTGTACAAGATTTAGGGTATATCGGAAGTGTCTGAACTTAGAAGGAAGTATTGTATTCTGAAGATGATAAACAGGCACTGGCAGCTGTAATGTGGAAAGAAGAGCTATTTTCATGCCAAATGGAGTGGTGAGAGTGTGCAGGTAAGGTGAGTTTCTGAAGTGGGATGTAGTTTCTAAGCCTTCCTTGCTGTATTTAATCTAACAAAGTTTATGGTTACAGTTGGTTTTCACACAAATAAGATTTCTGCAATAGACAATAATTTACATCCTTGCTGTGTATTTTCTGCCCTGCAAAGAAATGTTCACTTAAATATTTAAAGAGGAACTCCAGGAATTTGAAAAGTTAACTCTTGCAGTGGGGCTACCCCTACACTGGAAGGGTTAACTGCCTAGTTTAACCTAGGGGCAAAAATAAAGAAAATATACTTACCTGAGCCTCAATACTGCCTGGCTGCTAGACCAGTCCCTGCAGCCGCTTTTTCCCCAGGCTCTGGCTGTCTAAGCCCCACTGATGCCATCACATCTATGCAAGGTCCATTCACTCATGATATTGCACTAGCCAAGTGAGCTGATTACTGCCTTCCTATGATTAGCCATTTGTTGTAATGTTGTTAAGACATAACTATAATTACATAATCATGATCTATTTTTCAGCATCTACCTGTATTGATGTCTGCTCATGGTCACAGTGGTTTGATGTGTCATACCCTAAATATGAACCAAATGGAGGGGATTATGAGACTTATGAGAACATCAGAAAGGAACATTTTGAAGTGTGCGATAAGCCAGAGAACATTTCCTGCAGAGCACAGAAATTCCCAGATATACCACTGGAAGAGGTGGGCCAGATAGTGACCTGTGATGTCTCCACTGGCTTAGTGTGTCACAACAAAGACCAGACTGGATTCATGCCAGTGTGCTATAATTATGAGATCAGTGTCTACTGCTGCAATTATTGTATAACACCACCTGAGACTACACCATCAACCACCACTGTAACTACACCAACCACTACAAAGACCACAACAACAACATCAGTGACTACATCACCAATACCAAGTAAGTTCAGAGCTACCAAAATATTGCCTATTATAGGGGACACGTTTAGAGACTCGGTTTTCTATGCTGTGCCTATTGTAATGAATTTTCACAGGTTAGGGAGCAAGTATTATGCTTCATAGAAAATAATATATTGGTTTCCTGAGACATTGGGGTTGATTTACTAACCTTATAAACACGCCACGAACAAGTATACACCTCTGTAGTGTGTTCCCTCCCAGCATGATCTATTGGTGGAATCTAGACACCTTTGTAGTGTGTACACACCCAGCAGGTGTGTTGTGCAAAGCCCTGCATGAATTGCAAGGTGATGTTGTGTAAATTAGCTCTACATTGTGTTGCTTGCGTTGATGAATGCAGGAATGTAAATGCAGGAGCTAACCATTTTTGTCTAAACTGTGAAGCAGCATTATATATGCATCATGTGCATGATTTTTCCATATATGGCATTAGTGGAAATATGCTTTTAGAGACTTTTTGGTTGATAAATACGTTTTGGTTTGTAAAAATCACACGCACCTAGTGCATGCGTGTGTTTAGGTTAGTAAATCACCCCCATTGACCTATGATGTTTCCACTGCTTTGGTATATGATATTAGTTTCAGAATAAAGTTATACTCATGTGTTACAAGTATGATATGACATTATCTTTTGTGTTACGTTCAATACAAAATTAAAGTCTGCTATTGCCATCTGTCTGATTACTTTCTAACTGCAGCTATCTATACTCCACAGCTGAGTCAACAACACCAGAGACAACAACAACCACAACTGAGACTACAACACCTACAACAGTTACAGAACCTACAACTACTACAGAGAGTAGTACTAGTACATCTTTTACCACATCTCCACCTTCATGTGAGTTGAGAGTGTATCAGTCTACACTGGGAAATCATAAAAGAGTTTCTATTTTCAGGAAATGGTGTTCTATTGGTAGGATTAAAACCAACCAGCCTGATGTTGCTAGGTCTATGTCTATGATGCAAATTGATTGCTGGTCTCATGTGACTGTTCGTTGGAAATTTTCTAATTTTTCAAAAAACTTTTACTTAAAACAAATTTAATTGATCTGCTTTAATAGTTCAGTTATGAAAACAACTAAAAAAAAACAATTTATGGATGGTAGTGAATTTAAAAAAGTAATATAATTTGAAGTGCCAAGCTAGCCAAGTAAATGTTATAGAAAAGAAAAAAAAATTGTTACATGAAATAAATGAATGCAATTCTGGGTTCATGATTCTGGGAAAATTTTAATTAAGTAGGGTGTGGGACAGAGAGGTATTTAGGAATAGAACACAGCCCCTCCCCCTTCCTCAAGATAGCTCAGAGCCTTTTGTTGCTTCTGACCATTTGTGATTAAGATTAGGGTGACATTATTCTCTTAGGTCAGTGCATTCTTTTATTTAACTATTTTCCATATCTGTGCTAAATACTTCTGGTTCTTGCCATCCTACAGCTTCTTCTTTTTGTGTCAAATGTTCATTTCTATGGGTGCAAACAGAGTAAGGATACATATTAGAATGATAGAAAGCAGGAATGGAAGCATGGATATAGCATTAAAAATATTGACTAACCACACTCACATTCCAATTTGAAGGGATCCTATGCTTTGCTCGCGCAGGACAAAGAAACAGGTGCCGTTAAAATCTAGCTACATGTCCTTCTTCCTTTTTGCTTTCCTGCCACTCCATGCACTCACAAGAGTAAAGAGAAAACACCTTTTTCTAAAGTTCTAAACTGCTCTAGGCATAACTTGCATAAGGACAGGGGCTCGGAGACTCATTTCCTATTCTTTGCTTATTGTAATTCATTTTCACAATTAGAGGAGCAAGTTTTATGCTTCATGGTAAAGACTACATTTGTTTCCTAAGACATTAACCTGTAATATTTTCACTGCTATAGCATATGATATGACTTCCAGAATGAAGTTATGCTCATGTGTTACAATTATGATATGACATCATGTTTATGTTACATTGGATCTGAATTTAAAGTCTGCTGGTGCCATCTGTCTGATTACACTCTAACCATAGCGATCTATATTCCACAGCTGAGACAACCACCACAACTGAGACTACACTACCTACAACTGTTACAGAACCTACTAGTACTACTACACAGAGTACAGCTACTACTACAGAGAGTACTACTACTACTACATCTGTTACCACATCTCCACCTTCATGTGAGTTGACAGTTTGTTAGTCTTCACTAGTAAATCATAAACTTTTTTTATTTTTAGGACAAGTTGTTCTACTAGTAGGATTTAAAGAAGATTAAAACAAAAACTCCATCATAGAATGATGGAGGGCAGGCCCTTCTTGCTAACCATGTGTTACAGGAACCTACAGACTACCTTTGTTGAGGGATAAAGCTACATGACATAATAGAAAACAATTTGTAACTGCTGTTGTTTCCCATCCGATAAGCTGCTGAGAAGACTGTGTGCACAGTTTGAAGCTGCACTGCCTTCTCTCATAGAGCTATGATACAAATTAATTGCTAGTCCCATGTTTGTTGAAAATTTTCTAACTCTTCAAAAAAAACTTTTTTTAAAACAAAAGAAAAAAAAGAAATATTCACATGAAAATGTCATATTTCCTTCGATAAATGAAATACAATTTGTATGTCTTTGTTTCTTGATATAATAGTTTAGTTATGGAAATATATATATTAAAAAAACTATTTATATATGGCGGGGAATTTAAAAAAAAGTAATATATTTTGAAGGGCCAAGCTAGCTAAGTAAATGGTTTGAAAAAAGAAAACAAAACTTTTTGTTATGTATTACATGAAATACATGAATGTGCTGCCATTAATACAATTCTGGGTTCATGATTATGGGAAAATTATAATTCAGTAGAGTGTGGGACAGAGAGATATTTAGGAATGGAACACAGGGCCCCCCTTCCTCAAGGTAGCTCAGAGCCTTTTGACACTTCTGTCCATTTGTGGTTTAGGTTATGGTGACATTATTATGTTATGTTGGTGCATATTTTTTTTAGTTCCTGAGCCATTGACCTGTGATGTTTCTTCTGCTTTAGTGTATAATAATACTTCCAGAATGAAGTTATGCTCATGTGCTACAACTATGATATGCCATTATATTTATATTACATTTGATATTAAAATAAAGTCTGCTGGTGCCATCTGTCTCTCTAACCATAGCTATCTATATTCCACAGCTGAGACAACCACCGCAACTGAGACTACACCACCAACAACTGTTACACTGCCTATTACTACACAGAGTACAACTACTACTACTACTACAGAGAGTACTACTACACCTGTTACCACATCTCCACCTTCATGTGAGTTGAGTGTGTTAGTCTTTACTGGTAAATCATAAGCACATTTTAATTTTTCAGGACAAGTTGTTCTACTGGTAGTATTTAAGGAAGATTAAAAAAAATTCCATCATAGAATGATGGAGGGGAAGCCCTCCCTGTTAACCATCTGTTACAGGTAGCCACAGGCATTAGATGACATGTTGTTGGATGGATTACACTACAATCTATCATCTGAAAACCATTTTCAGACACTACCATTGCTGCGTGGTAAAGCAACATGACATACTAGAGAACCATTTCTAACTGCTGTTGTTTCCCTGTCCAATAAGCTGGTGAGAAGACTATTTGCACAGTTTGAAGCTGCACTGCCTTCTCTCATAGGTCTATGATACAAATTAATTGCTGGTCTATGGTTACTTTCTAACCAACTATCTATATTCCACAGCTGAGACAACCACCACACCTGAGACTACAACACCTACAACTGTTAGAGAGCCTACTACTACAGAGAGTACAACTACTACTACAACTACTACTACAGAAAGTACAACTACTACATCTGTTACCACATCTCCACCTTTCTGTGAGTTGAGAGTGTAAATCATAAAATCATGTCTATTTTCAGGACAAGCTGTTCTAATGGTAGCATTTAAAGTAGCTGTGAACATACAACAAAAAGGCTATTGTAATGTAGTAAATACCATTTTGTGGCTTTAAACATGTGAAACTCTTTTCTAACATTAAGCTTAGTTAACTATTTTATAATGTTTAATTGGTGGTCATGTGACTGCACAGCCTCATTCATTCCCCCTTCACTGTAGCAAGGGGTGTGTCTATGTAGGTGGAGGGAGTGTGTTTCATATGTAGGGGGGCATGTCTATTTAGATTGTGAGCTCATACATATAGCGGGGAAGTAAATTATCTGTCTATGCCTTACATAAACAAGGCAGCTGCATTTTTTACTAATCTGTGAGAGCTGCTGTTAAATGACAGTGGATCTCACTGTGCGGGATCAGTCTTACTTCACACAAAGGCACAAACAGAAAATGTACTTACCTGCTGTGTGTAAGTTAGCCTGCATAGTAAGAGCCAAGCTCTCTTTATGCAGGCTCATATACACAACAGGGAATTACATTTCATGGCTGTGTCTTATATAAACAAAGCAGCGGGCAGGCAGCTGCAATTTTACTAATCCTTGAAAGCCGCTGCTGAATGTGACAGAGACTCTCACCATGTGAGTATATTTACACACAGAGGGGAAGTACTTTCCCTCTCTGTGGCTTTGTTTGAAATATCACTGAGCCCACATACTGAAAGCCACTGTGATTCAATTTCCCTTTGTTTATTTAAGACACAGATAGGGATGGTATTTCCCTACTGTGCATACGACTGCATATGAGAGATTGTCATAAGACATTATGTTTATGTTACATTTGATATGAGATTAAAGTCTGCCAGTGCCATCTGTCTGATTAAGCTCTAACAATATTGATCTATATTCCACAGCTGAGACAACCACCACAATTGAGACTTCAACACCTACAACTGTTACAGAGCCTACTACTACATATGTTACAACATCTCCACCTTCATGTGAGTTGATAGCATAGTAGTCTTCACTGCTAAATCATTAAGACAAGCTGTTCTACTGGCAGCTTTTAGAGGGGGTTTAAACAAAAACTCAATGAGAGAGTCATAGAGGGAAAGCCCTCCCTGCCAACCATCTCTTACAGGTATCCACAGACATTAGATAACATGTTGTTGGATGGATTGTGCTACATTCTATTATCTGTGGACCATTTTCAGACACTACCTTCGTTGAGGGTTAAAGCTACCTGCCATAGTAGAAGACTATTGAGAAGGCTATTTTTGCAGTAAGAAGCTGCACTGCCCTCTCTTGTTTAAAGTGAAGTTGTGCCTCCAGATACTGGAACATGGTTGCATCATTCTCTTTATTTAGGGCGAGCTCTGGGCAGGTGTACGGGTGTGATCCACAGTAATGAAAAATGCAATGATTGAAATGCCAATAGTATCCTCTCTTTTAAAATATAAACATCAATCCTCATCAGATCCAGTCTATGAAGACAACCAGGACACTCCTCAGATCCACTGACCCCACAGATCAAAAGAGGTCAGGTCTCGCTTAGTGATATTTATCCCCACCTGTGTCTTCCATTGACAATGGTGGATTCACTGGCAACAGTAGCTCCCAGTTATCTCCAAAGGGCAGTCAATTTATGATAGCTCTCTCCTTTCATGGTTTGGATTAGTAATTTCCTCCTGGCAGTTTGTCACAATCAAGCTGCAATAAAACACTCCACTAGGTAGCTCCATAGGCCGAACTAAGCCGGCATCCAGCTGAAACAAAATGTCCGTTCAAAACTCCGGTCATCCAAAAAAAATGTAAGGGAAGGCAAATAGAGCATTTATAAAATTGATAAAAACAAAATAAAATGAAGCATTATAGTCCGAAATCATAAGTGTTTCAATAGCAAGAAAAAAACTTAATCAGGGGTGTGATGCACCTCTGTGATTCACGCTGAAGTATGTGTTTTCTACCTGCTCTCTATTCAGATTTGTTTACAGAACAACTATAGAAAGAGCTGAAGAAAACGATACACTGTATCCATCAAAATTCAGTTAGCTGTTTTCCATATCTGTGCTAATAATTCTGTTTCTTTCGATCCTCCACTTTTTTCCTTTTGTGTTAAAGATTCAGTTCTATGGGTGCAAAGCACAGCAAAGGTAGATATTAGAATGATAGAAAGCAGGAATTGAAACAGAGATATTTTAAAACAATTCAGACTAACCACACTTACCTTCCAATTTGAAGGCGTCCTGTGTTTTGCTTGTGCAGGGCAAAGCAACAGATGCAGTTACAAATGGCCCTATGTCCTATTTCCCTTTGCTTTCCTGCCACTTCATGCACCAACTGGAGTCAAAAGTAAAAAAGCCTTTTTTTACATTTCAAACTGTTCTAACCAGAGCTCATATAAGGACCATGTTCAGATTTGCAGTTTCCTATTCTGTGCCTATTGTAAAGAATGTTCATAATTAGGACAGCAACTGTTATTCTTCATGGGAAAGAGCATATTGGTTTCCTGAGACATTGACATTTGATGTTTGCACTGCTTTAGTATATGATATTACTTCCAGAATGAAGTTATGCTCATGTGTTTAATCTGTGATATAACATTATGTTTATGTTTTACATTTGGTCTGTAATAAAGTCTGCTAGTGCCATCTGGCTGGTTATTTTCTAACCAGATCTGTCTATATTTCACAGCTGAGACAACCACCACTACAACTGAGGCTACAACTGTTACAGAGCCAACTACTTCAGAGAGTACACCTACTACTACAGGGAGTACTACAACTACTGTACCAGTTACCACAACTTCACCTTCATGTGAGTTTATTTAATATTAAATATTAATATAAATAATATTATTATATTTTCTTTTCTTAAATCAACTAAACTTGCCCTTTTGGTAAAAACATTCTCATGTAGATGATATATGCACAACAAGGTCTATAGTTTATTTAATTATTATTATCATATTAATTTCATTCTCTAACATACTTTTATATATTATATTTTCTTAAATCAACAAAGCTAAACTAACAAAAGTTGCCCATTTGGTAAAAAACTTCTCTTTATCTCTATAAGGGCTATATGTGCTAATGCAGCTGCTAAATTTTCTACAAGATTAGACAATGTTGTAAAGATTCAACTGTAATTACATCATCATGATCTATTTTTCAGCATCTACCTGTATTGATGTCTGCTCATGGTCACAGTGGTTTGATGTGTCATACCCTAAATATGAACCAAATGGGGGAGATTATGAGACTTATGAGAACATCAGAAAGGAAAATTTTGAAGTGTGCGATAAGCCAGAGAACATTTCCTGCAGAGCACAGAAATTCCCAGATATACCACTGGAAGAGGTGGGCCAGATAGTGACCTGTGATGTCTCCACTGGCTTGGTGTGTCACAACAAAGACCAGACTGGATTCATGCCAGTGTGCTATAATTATGAGATCAGTGTCTACTGCTGCAATTATTGTATAACAACACCTGAGACTACACTATCAACCACCACTGTAACTACACCAACCACTACAAAGACCACAACAACAACATCAGTGACTACATCACCAATACCAAGTAAGTTCAGAGCTACTGAACTATTACCTAATTTGAGAGAAAACAAGCCTTTTTAAGTTCCAAACTGCTGTACTCAGTGGGGGGTGATGTTCACAGACTACTATTCCAATTACGGTGGGAAAAATGAAGGACACCACAGAGTGATGTAATATTTATACATTAGGGCACAAAATCACCAAACAACCTAGACATTTAAAACTGGAAGAAGAGTAGGGGGCAGACTGAGAGGTAATGACCATTGAAGCAAGATTAATGTATAACTAAGGTACTTACAGTTGGGTGGACTGACCTCTTGTTTAAACAGATGGAACTGTTCAAAGGATGAAAAATGCCTGTACAAGATATGGCATACCAGAAGTGCCTGAACTTAGAAGAAAATATTGCATTGTGAAACTGATAGACAACACTTAAGTGAAAGTGGAAATTCTTCTACCAGTTTAGGTTTCAATCTGCATTTCTAAAGAGCTGCACGAAGCTGCAGCTTGTTTGATGCTTGCCACTTGGTCATTGTAAGTGATAAATATGAAATATTAGCAGGGAAAATATCATTTTTTCCTTGAAAATTAAATAAAATATCTCATTTTTGTTGCTTAATATCATATCTTAGACAACTAAATAGCATCAAAAGAAAACTACATTTTCTTTTGTTATAAATTTCATGAAATACATGAATGTGTTGCCATTAATGAAATTCATTGGCCTAGATTATATAGTGATATTATTCTCTCTCTTTGGTCAGTGCATATTTTTTCAGTTAGCTGTTTTCCATATCTGTGCTAAATAATTCTGCCACTCCATGCACCAACTGGAGCCTTTTTTTTTTAAAGAGACACTAAACTCAGAATTTAAATCTTAAAAATGTATTCAAGTACTCTAACTATTAACAAAACTGTAGCTTATTTGTGTATCAGTCAGCTGTAGATCCTCAAATCATCTCTGAAATGGTGCGGAAAGCATGAATTCAGAACTGATTTGATAATCTGCAGTTGACTGATACACAAGACTGAGACACCAGCAACAAGCTACATTCTTGGTAATAGTTAGGGTACTTTAATGCTTTTATAAGTTTTAACTCCTGAGTTTAGTATCACTAGAAGTTTCAAACTGCTCCAATCAGAGCTTGTATAAGGGCAATGAAGTTATGCTTATGTGTTACGATTGTGATGTGACATTATGTATGTTACATTTGATCTGAAATAAAGTCTGCTAGTGCCCTCTCTCTGATTACTTTCTAACCTTAACTTCCTATATTCCACAGCTGAGACAACCACCACTACAACTGAGACAACACCAGAGACAACAACCACCACAACTGAGGCAACACCAGAGACAACAACCACCACAACTGAGACTACAACTGTTACAGAGCCAACTACTACAGAGAGTACACCTACTACAGAGAGTACACCTACTACTACAACTACTACTACAGGGACTACTACTACTACATTTGTTACCACAACTCCACCTTCATGTGAGTTGACAGCGTATTAGTCTTCACAGTAACATTTAATATAACACAACAGTGTCAAATATATTAAGTGCTGAATGAACAAGTGTCACCACACACAAACAAGTGAAAAAACAAACAAACTACAAAATGAGAATTACTATAATACAACAATATACTGAGGCCTCGTTCACACCTGACACAGTGCGTTCCGGCCCGATCCTGGCCAGAACGCAATGCATCGCTTTGCGGCTAGCTCACTATGTTGTGGGGCAGGAGGGGGTGTGGCGGTCCATTGAAGTGAATGACACTGTAGCCACGCCCTCCTGCTGCAATGCGACCGGCCACACGGGAACGCAAGGCACATTATGCCTGTGGTCCGGTCCAAACAAAATAGTGCTTGCAGCATTTTGTTCAGACCGGACCGGACCGCAGGCATAATGTGCCTTGTGTTCCTGTGTGGCCGATCGCATTGTGGCCGGAGGGCGTGGCTATGGTGGCAATCACTTCAATGGCCTCAAAACGATCCAGTGCGTTCTGGCCAGAATCGGGCTGGAAAACACTGTGTCTGGTGTGAACAAGGCCTAAGAGATAGCACTTAAACAGCCAACACTGTGTGTAAAAATGTAACAAAATAAATTATATATGATAGCGTCGAGGTGATTTCCAATTCAAAACAAATTCTTTTGTTTAAATGTGTGCACAAAAAACAGATATGAATCCCAAAGTGCTTTGACTCCACAAGAGAAGAGCAGGTACTTCCAGATGTGTCATTTACCCATAAGGAATAAATATCACCTTATTTAGTGAACCATGTCTAACGCTAATTTAGCATGGTCACATAATGTTTTTCCCACATGTGGGTGAAAGTTCCAAATTAAGTAATGTAGTTAATAGCGAAGAACGATACCAGTTCACATATCCACTGCACTATAGCGTGATCTCTTAGAATAAGATCCTATCCTAAGAGATCACGCTATAGTGTAGTAGATCTGCACTAGAGCAGAAAAGTGGAGATTCTGGCAAACATGGAATTAAGTTTTGGTTTTATTTCTGTATGTTTAAAGAGCTGGATAAAGCTGCTTCTTGTTTGAAGCTTGCCAGCTTCTCATTGTAAGTGATTCATATGAAAATATGAAATATTCACATGGAAATTGTTACATTTCTCTTCTGGCCAAGACTTAAGCTAACAACTAAATGTCTAGGTTCAGGAGTGAAACGAGCCTGTAGATTATATGATAACAGTCAGAGTTTCAGTCCTAAAATTGTGTCTATTGAATATGCTGTTAAAGCTCTTGGTAAGAGAGGGGCTACTTGTATTGCAAATATGTTATGGTAGCCTGCCATGAGGCCATCAAGGCCCTGATACTTGTTTTCATTTGTTTGATGACCTGGAATATTTCCTTTGCTGTTAGGGATTGCTCTAGTATTTCCCAAGTGGTATCTGAGAGTCTGGGTAGAGAAATTTGTTCAAACAACTTGTCAGCCTGTGCAGCTGAGAAACATTGGTGGCTGAATAGGGGATTGAGGTATAGTGATGAAATTCACACAGAATTTTAACTTGATTACTTGTATGTCATTGCCTGCTGAGTTTCTTTGTCTCCCTTGATATAGAATGTATATTTAACTCTTCTGAGTTGTTTTTCAGCTATATCTGTTAGTAATGTGTCCAATTCTAATCTGATTTTGTCTAGCACCTGTCTATAAGTGGCAGTTGGGTGGACAGAGGGTTTATGCACTCCTAAGAGAGTAATGTGAGTGACCTCTGGGGTAGAGTTGACATGAATACATTCAGAAAGCACTGAATTGTAAAGCAAAAGTTTGTTTTAGAAAGAAGGAATTCATTCAAGGTCCAGGATGTGTCCCAGTTCTTATCAATGGGTAGAGTTAGTGGTTGGTTGCACTATGGTCTGACCATGGGATATGCTATATCTGCAACTAAATCATAGTGGCAGAATGGAGTGAGTAATAAAAATATGGTCAATCCTAGAGAAAGAGCATAGTAACAAAAAATGTATTTTCAGTATCCTGCCGTAGGCCCTGCAATATCAAATAGTTACCTGTTGGATCTGCAATATTTTTTTTACAATAAAATAAGCAGAACTTGAGAAACCTAAAAGAATCTTCTATGTTTCATTCTGTCATTAGCAAGAAAAAATTGTTGGAATGTTGTACTAAAGTATTTGAATGCTGGTATAATAGATAAATGAATTTCCTGCAGGCAACCAATGTCTGCTCATAGGGTGCAAAATGAGCAAAAGGCTAATGCCCCTTTTTTGTTCAGTAATGGAATGATGGTGGATGGCGTTTTTTTAAATTCAAGGAGCAAGAGCGGTACTAGAGAGAGCACCACATGACCCTCTCAAAGGAGAGGGTGTATGGGGGACAGAGTAGGAAAAAGTTGCAGTAAAGGATGAATGGTAGGGTTCAGGTAAAGCAGATAGTGTAAAAATGTCACAGAAAAGTATGTGCATCCAACGTAAAGCAGAGAACCTCCATCTCTTCCTCAAGAGTAGCCATTCTCTGGTATACCCTGCAAATTTCCTTTGTAAGGCAGTCTATAACTTGGCATGAGGTCATGTGGAGAGCTTTTCTGTATTTCAATTTTGTCTAACTATTGACGCAGGGAATCACCTGCTTACTGAAGCATCCATACAGGCTTTATCTCCATCTAATGCTGTTTCTTTAGTAGGTGAGGGAGGTGGCAGAGTAGAAACAACCAGCGCCATTTTGGCTGGGACACGTACTGGGGCAAGTCCACTTATCAACCCTCTTACCTGGTAGACTAAATATTGGAGCTAACGTGATTATAAGTTTGACCAATGAATAAAAAGAAAAATGCCTTCAGCTGGGTGTCTGTATGGGAGGTGGGGAAAGTCTTCAAACTTCATCTGCTATTGGC